ATAATCCCACTATTTTGGAAGAGTGTCAACTTCACGTGCATGTGGATGGTGTTGAGAATATGTTATGTGATAGATATTTTGTTGAATTTGCCTATGATCCTACATGTAATTATTATGAGAGAGGAAAATATGGTCGTAGTAATTTTTATCTTACTAAATTACCTCTCGTCATGTTGAGATTGCTATCGTTTCTTTCTTCTTCCTTGCATATGCTAGTTTTTGCTTGCCTTGCAAATTTGTTTGCTTATAATATGCCTATGCATAGGAAGTATGTTAGACTTAGATGTGTTTGTCATGTGTTTCATGATGCTCTCTTTACGCTTCAATTCTTGTCTTTCATGTGAGCATCATTAAAATTATCAATGCCTAGCTAAAAGGCTTTAAAGAAAAGCGCTTATTGGGAGACAACCCAATATTTTTTTGCTGTTATTGAATAAATAATTCATCTAGCCTATGTTTAGATGTGGTTTTATGTTTTAATTAGTGTTTGTGCCAAGTAGAACCTATAGGATTACCTACGGTAATAGTTAATTTGATTATGCTGAAAAACAGAAACTTTTGCGCGCATGAGAATAATTTTAATAAATCACAGAAACGTGATTTTTAGTTTCTTATTTTTGATGTAGATCAATAGACAAATTTCCCAGGACTTCTTATTTTTGTAGGATTTTTAGAGTTCCATAAGTATTCAAAAGTTAAAGATTGCTACAGACTGTTCTGTTTTTGACAGATTCTGTTTTTCGTGTGTTGTTTGCTTATTTTGATGAATCTATGGCTAGTATCGGGGGGTATGAGCCATATAGAAGTTGGAATACAGTAGGTTTAACACCAATATAAATAAAGAATGAGTTCATTACAGTACCTTAAGTGGTGGTTTTCCTTTCTTGCACTAACGGAGCTCATGAGATTTCTTGTGTGTGAAGTTTTCAAGTTTTGGGTAAAGATTTGATGGACTATGGAATAAGGAGTGGCAAGAGCCTAAGCTTGGGGATGCACATGGCACCCCAAGATAATTCAAGGACAACCAAAATCCTAAGCTTGGGGATGCCCCGGAAGGCGGCATCCCCTCTTTCGTCTTCGTCTATCGGTAACTTTACTTGGAGCTATATTTTTATCCACCACATGATATGTGTTTTGCTTGGAGCGTCTTGTATGATATGAGTCTTTTCTTTTTAGTTTACCATAGTCATCCTTGCAGTACACACCTTTTGGGAGAGACACAACATGATTCAGAATTTATTAGAATACTCTATGTGCTTCACTTATATCTTTTGAGCTAGATAATTTTGCTCTAGTGCTTCACTTATATCTTTTAGAGCACGGCGGTGGTTTCATTTTGTAGAAATTACTAGGAAAAGGGCCCGTGCGTTGCAACGGGTTAACAAAACTACGACGTTCAAATCAAGCTATTCAGAACATATAATATATAGCCCACCTTGTTAAATTCAAAATCAAATAAGATTATCCCCAAAACAATTCAAATAAAATTGAGCGTTGGTTGCCCTTATAAGAATATGATACATTTAGTTGATGGATTACATGCGACAAGCTCACTGACCACAATTTATTTTAAAAACCATAGCTTAAATTTAGAAGTTGAAACTTCCGTTATTCATTGTACAAAACTCTGACACGGTTTTTTTGGAAGCTTCATTATAGCCACAACAATATATTAACCATTAAATTATATTTTCTTCTTCTGAAATTAGAATACTACTTATATTATATATATCATCTCTGAAATTTTCCAAGATATTTTTTAGAGTTTTGAGCACCGAAACATTTTGATTATGCTAACATGAGAAGCTTAGGAAGCAGTAGAGGAGGAAGAGATATTCCACGCGATTTCATTTATTTCTATTTTCTTTCAACCCCTTCCTTTGCCACCGAATAGTGGGTCTCCTTGGTCAGTCTAGCGACGTCAGCTCCCAAGGGACACGCGCCCGCAACCCCCCTGCTTTTCTCCTCCTCCACTCCACTACCTCACTCCTCCCTCTTTTCCTCCCTCCCTGGATCCCCTTTCTCGTCAAGCTCACTTGGGACGCCGCCGCTCGCCATTGCAATGCCAGCCACAGGGACCGATGGGATCCGCCAGGCTTCGGTCCGGATAGATGTCCACGCCTCCGGCTCCGACATGCACGCCCGCGCACTGGACGCCGCCATAAACCACCTCGTTTATCTGGTGTGTTCTTACTCCTAGGTAGTTCCCTTGCTCCATTGTTGCTCCAGCCATCTCTTTAATGGTGATTCCAGGCACCAGCGTGCCGGAACCTCTTGAACCCAGGTCGCGTTTCTCCGTTCCGTTGGTCATCGTTGCGACACCGCCGTGGTCATCCTCCTCCCCGAGCAGCTCCAGGGACGGGCTCCGCATCATCTGTGTCTCCTCTAACCATAGACTCGAAGCCGTGCGTCCCTCTACTTCTTCCTCGACAGCTGACCGCAATTGACACCGTCCGGAACTCGTTGTCGTCCGTCCTCTCGGCTCCCTGCTCCGCCCGACCCCGTCACGAACAACAAGGTGAGGAGTCACCTCTGCCTGCCTACTACTGCTGGTTGCTGCTAGCTTGCTTTGCTGCTGCTGGTAGTTTAGCTTGCCATTGCTGCTTGCTTTTCTTGCTTGCTGCTGCTGGCTTTGAGCTGCGGGTAAATGAGAGAAAGAAAGGAAATTTTACATTTGTACAGGGGAGATGGCTATATTTAGATTCACCTCTATACAGGGAGATGGCCATGTTTACTTGCTCGTCACACTATCAGACTAAGGCTAGTCTCCCCTATGCATAAAAATTTCAGAAAAATGCTCAACCTGCTGAACTTGTAAAATCCATAATAGAATTATTCCAGTTTCTGTTTGGAGTAGTACTGATATGGAGTTGGATGATTTAAATTGTATTGTAGCAATAGAAAACATGAACATACTCAATATTATTGCTTGGAAGTAAAAGAACTTGTACTTTAACAACGCGTCTTTAGATATCGTAAAAATTCTCAAGTTGCATTCTAGGACTCAAAGAAAATGTTGTTGCGAATTTCAGTAGCTTCATTTTCATCTTACTGTATGACATCACATCCATTTCATGCTTTGTAACCAACATGTACTTCCTAAATATTCTTAGCTTTGTTTGACATGGCTAGGAGTTGCTTGTTGTTCATGATCATCAGGTAATGACATTAACTTGGATTAATTAATATGGAAATAAATAAGTGAGTTGTGAGGGCCGTGGTTTGATGATATGGTCGGGTTGGGGTTACCACCAGTTGCATCTCTTATAATAGTCAAACTGGCTCACTTTTTCACCTGTATTCAGCTTTGTCCCTAATTATGTTTGCAGACATCATCAATGTCGGTGGCCGCAGCAATGGACTACGACAAGTGTCCTCTGCCACATCCCTGTCCACCCGCATCACTACGACGCTAGGCCATGCCTCACTATTTATATTCTTCTTGCCCTTTTATTGTGCCTCTGCTTCTGCTATTTATATTTCATTCATTATTGATCATGAAACATGATTCAACGTGCTCCCTCCTTATAAATTATACATGCAACATGCATATTAGCCTCTATTTCTTTCCTTATATTTCCTCGCTCCCTTATTTCGTTTGAAAATCCTCTTAATTGGCCATTAGCCCACTCTTTCATTCTATAGCCTCTCTTCCCTTCCATATTTCTCTATCATGATCCCCGAGATTGCTTCGTGATACCCAAAAAATTTAAAGACCTATATAAATTGGGTAGATTGTATTTAGTGGAGCAAGGTGGGACCATTTATCATATGAATCAATCTTGTTTTCTACACACAACATTAGCTAGCCCAGTTGGCTGCGACATTGTTTATTGGACTGGAGGTTGAGTTCAATTCTGCTCATCGTGAACTATTTTTGAGACGGTTTGTTTGGGCCACCCGGATAGTTGGCCTTGTTTTGTTCTTTTTTTCGTCTTGCATTGTAGCTATTTCTTTTATTGTTGGAGATGAGTGTACCTGAGCTATCAACATGGTGATGTGATTACTGTTACATGGATACTGAAAGTTCTACCATATTCATTATATACCTGCAAAGTTACAGGAAGGAACAAGAATAATAAGCCATATCCATCCAAGACTCAGGGCCTTCGTGAACCGGTGAGGAGATGATCTGCAACTATACTACTGCGAACAACAAAATGCTTGATTATCTCAGACATGGGAGAGGGGATTGAAACAGGTTGTGGGCGATGG